TGGGGTAGATACAGGCCTAATTGGTTAGCTCATGAGCATCAGAAGGCTACCATGAACTAGTCCAAGATGACGGTTGGGGCGGAGGATGATGGAGGAAGGTTGGCCATGTGCGGCCAAGCCGCACGGCGGTGCACCGTGGCGTCATGGTCACATCAACGATGAAGGGAAGGCGGTAGCAGTTTGGCTAAGGCGTGTAGGGTGAAGAGGGAGTCAAGGCAATTCTAGTGGTGCAGGTGAATTAACTCAGGAGGGACGGTGGGAGGACTGCCCACATCCGTGGCTGGATGCGGCCTTCTCGGCACAGCGGGGGAAGAAACTCCAAATTAGAGCTTGGCCGTGCTCGCTTCAAAGCTGGGTGGGGTCAGGTAGTGAGAGGATGTGATGGTGAAGAAGTAGATGTGCTAAATTGAATGGAGGTGATCGCTCGTAGGGTAATTGATGGCATGGCTTGGCAGTGGCAGCGGAGGAAGGAAGAGAGAAATAGAAAGACGAGGCGCGGCAGGTGGCTCGGCTCATCCTCACCTTGGCGGGATGCGATCCACGAGATCGTGGAGGCCCACGTGCAGGCGCTACTAGATAGGCATGCGCACTTCTGACCAGCGTGGCCCGCGTGGCCACAGTGTCTTAAATGACAAGGCGACGGCAAGCTCGACCTCATGCGTGCGGCAGTGGCAGCCATGAACTGGGCCGACAGCGGCACAGAGGGTACAGCGGATAGGCATGGACGTGACGACGATGCAATGACAGCGGCAGCGTCGTGACGCGAGGTGGGTCAGCAGTGTGGTGAGGCAGCAGTGGGCGGACACGATGATGAGGTGATAGCACCGGCAGTGGCTTCGTTGTGGCGTGGGCGGGGGGCAGCAGCTTTGCACGATGAGGCCAGCGGCAGCCGAGCCACAACCAGGCCAGAGGCAGCCATGGTCGGTCGCACGCGCAACCAACGCGATGACGCCGAGCATGGTGACCGCTCCCACGCGGCCAACTAGCCCGAGACCAAGTCGTGAACGAATTTTAAAGCTCCTATAAAAACTAAACGGTTGCTGCAGGAGCCAAACCATCTTCACCATGCCCAAGAGGGCATATGAGACTACCAAATCGAGCTATAACACTACACCACCCCTTAAACCTAATCTCTCAAAATAATTTGTTAAACATAGCAATTTCTAGTTATTGACAAACTTAGAAATTTTTCAAATTTTTTGAGCTGAACTTGATTTCAATTTGCAATTTCTAGTCTAGTAGAAATACTAGCTAGCAATATCATTTTTCAACAGTAAGTATTTCACTGTCATCTGCAAAGTTTTTACTTTAAACTTTATTTAACTATCACACACATGTTCTATGGTATTTTCGTTTAATAAAAATTAGTTTTAAACCCTACTTGATATATACGAACTATTGAATCAACTTTTGTTTAATATTTTTATTAGTCATTTTAAGTTACAAGAAATTTATCTACACATTCTATCACATGCATTAACACATAAACATGATGCTCATGACATATTTTTGTTAATGATTTAGGGTGTAACATCGAGGGTGTTACAGTATATTTTGTTCATATAGTTTTATAATATTTTTGGAAATTATCTAATTAATTTGAGATGCTTAATATTATAAGATATAAATTTGTAGGTATTTTTGTGATAAATTGGTGATAGTGTTGGCTCTCAAACTTTCACAGTAAATTCCTCAGATTATTAGGTGCTCACTATAATTTTTGTAACTCCATAATAATTAGTTTGCTAAGGTAGCTAAATGAGCCATAATTTAAAAATATATGTTTAATCAATAAAATACTGAAACACTTTGAGAGTTTAGAACTAAAACACTTGATGGAAAATAGCGCCTTATTCAACAACATGGTACGTAGCCTAGCACGTTAGTTATTAGAGCTATCTCGTTGGCTTGTGAGGCGTAATCGTATTTCTAAGAGTTTCGGTTGCCGTTGATTATTTACGTCTCTGCGTTGCATCCGCGTATATCATAATAGGAACAACGATGGATCATGGAGTCGACCGATGTAACGGAAAAGAGGGTGCCTTGATGATCGTGTCACCAGTGGAATGCTAATCTTTGGTTATATATTACCTAGGCAAGTTCTGGTGCATAACCCCTATTATTCTGCACTTTATCTTATGCTTGTGCATTAAGTTTTAAGGAGTTGAATGAAAACCACTTGCATATATATATATATATCCTCATCCTATGAGTCCTACTAGTATGTCAGGATCGTGTAGATTGCTATGCTATAGGATCCGGTAGAAGTCGAGTGATTACCTGTCACTCGCGAGAGATAGGAAATATATTATTGTTGTTATTATATTACTATCACATAGAACATGTATGAAGGATAATTGAAGATCGGGCGAAATGGTACTTTGGATCTAGACTTAGTTGGGTATTCGAGCGAGGCTCGGATTGTATTTGTTCCGCCTATGTCAGTTGAGGACCTTCCGTTACTGTGGATGGTATTTAGGTCACAAACTATTATCCTAAGCACATACTTGCTTCTGAGAGCGGGAAGACTCGTTACGCTCTTGTCACGGGTTCCGGATCTTTTCGGACCGACTGATTGGAGGCGGGAAAAGGTGAAGGTCTAAGCACCATACTAAGACCGGGTCTCAAGTGTGGAGGCTTGGAGTCCAAGTTTGGACGGGGACTGGACCTCGTGACAGGTGTGGAATGGGTTGGTCTTATTTATGCTTGGGGTACAAACGTGGCATGTGTTTTGGAGTACCCAGCTGGGATACATTGATTCACGAATCGTCGTTTCTATGAGACGGTACGACTTGGCTATGGTCTAGCACCGTAGTAAGAACGGGAACTTGAAAGGTGATAAAATGGTTCTGATTGCTTACCACCTGCTTGAAAGTAGCATATGTGTTTACATAGAATGGTTAGTTAATGAACTAACAATGACTGCCAATAAAATTGAATATAAGGACGCACATTTAGTAATGCTCCATGCATATGCAATGACCCACAAGCCAGATAGCCTTGCATATCCTTGGAGTCTTTTATTTTTTCTCCTGTCGGGTAAGTCTTACTGAGTATAATTGAGTACTCAGGGTTTTATTCCCCTAGTTGCAGGCGATCGGAGGATATTTAGAGCTGACTCTTATGTGTGGAAACATCCTGATGGGCTTAGAGATGATTTCTTTCACGCTACGACCGTAGTGTTTATTTATAACCCGTACTAAAGGTTTTTATAAGAAAAGATGTAAAATCTACTAGCATCTCTTGTATAAAAATATCCACTATGTTAATGCTCCACCATATCATTAAATTAACCTTTGTTTCCTCTGTAACTCTGATAACATTGTTATATTCCGCTGTTATAACCAATTAAGGTAATATTCTACTACTGTAATAAAGTGATATAAGAAATGTCTTAAGAATGATGTAAGCTTTATTCTCTCATTTATGATTCTGATGAAAAAATGTGGACTTTTGAGTTCTCTCTTGGGGTGTGTTCGACGGAACTGCGTAGTTTAGTGTCCTCTTGAGTACTTAGTGTCTAATCAAAGACAAGTTCTCCTGTGAGGCATTAGATTAGGCGGTTCTACCACATGCAGTCCTTGCCAGAGCCTTGTTTGGGCCCTACCATGACGCAACAGAGCCAACGACACCGGCCAGAGATTCCAGGGAGAGGGGAAGCCCCCATACAATCCTCCAAGATTTTTCCATAGCAAGGATCGAAGAAAAACTCTCAAACCCTAGGAAGGAACACCATGTCGCCATGGAGTTGCCCCGTAACCCTATCGGTCATTTGTGTGCACGGTGTTTGGACCATTTTTACTTTGATCTTCTCAACTTATCCTTTGCACTTGACCACTTCATTTCTTTCTTTTGCAAAGGGAAGGGGATTATATTAAAACTCAGCATAGTACATCCCCAAATTACATATGAAAAAATTTGAAATAAAAAATGCACAATATTCTATCCAGATTCTTCCATCTTCTTCTTCCCCAATGGCATCCCTCGAACGTCAGAGCCAAAGTGCAATCCTTATGTCGAATCCGATAACCAATCCCAAAACATTGGACATGCTATAAGATCCAATGCTTCGGAACCAGTCCAAAATGTATTTGTATCGATGAAAGAATATCAACAGTTGCATCGTCGAGAGCAACATAAGATATAGATTCATCACCTTCAAACCTTGATTTCCTCTTTGCAACCAACGATGATGAGATCGATGACTCGGAGTAGCTGTCTTCGTTGGAGGCGCCCAGAAGCACCCCTCCCCTTACAGACAATAGCCACAACTTGGCTGCCTGCCGATGAAATCGATGCCTACAATGGCGATCACGTCATGGCAATCGTCGAAGTCACGCAGGAAACACGATTCCGACCGAAAATCATCTGATTTCACTGAAAGATTTATTTATACTAAACCCTAAGCAACTAGAAAAAATTACGGGGAATTAAAGAGATGGTTCCCCTCCCCTTCTTATCCCCCAGCAAACGCACCGGAGATGAAGGAGAGGAGCCCTAGGCGCGGCGGCAGCAGCGGTAAGGAGAAGGAGTTGCGGCAGGCGACGTGGTAGTGGCGGCTTGCGAGACAGGAAAAAACGTTTTAGTTAATTCATTTCTAACGCTAGTGGATCTAAAACATAGCCTAAATGAGAAGAATTGGATGATATTGGAGTTCCAGTTAAGACAATTAGTATAAAAACTGACTAGCTTGCCATGAACAACCTTGATTATGAAATTAATGAGTAATAAAGAGGATGGGTCTTTACGGAATTGCTATTTAGTTTTTGAGCATGAATCTATATACTAAATCGTGTGGTGAGAAGAAATTTGGTGACGGATAAATAGCATCCTTTTTTTCTATACAAATCACTAATTGTACAACAAAAACACCAACCCCGGTAAATTTCACAACACACAGACACAACAGTGGAAGGAATAGGAAGGAGAAGAAAATAAACTGTTCTTCAAAATGGACACGGCCCATTAGCACGCCGAAGTAAAAACCGAGTGCCTACCCGCTAGCGTGAATTCTCATCGCTGCCCTCGGCCGCCGCTTCCTCGCCGCCGCCGGCAACCGTCCTGTGATCCCCCGCCTCTTCCGTCGCCGAAGAATCCACGCGACATCGAGAGGCCTTCATCAGGTGGAACGCCACGAGCTCCGCGGCGGCGGCGACGGTGGTGGTGGCGCCGGGGTTGAAGGACCCGAACTTGGGCGTGGTCTGCGCGCTGGAGAAGCTCCGCGCGTGGAACGAGAAGGACGGCTCTACTCCGTCGCAGCCGCCCACGGATTCGTCCTTCCTGCTCGCCGCAGCGGCAGCGGCAGCCGCGGCCGCGGCCGCGACCTCCGACGCGCGGGGCACGCTGTCGAGCGCCGCGATGCGCGCGCGGGCGCGCCGCCGCTTCGGCTCCGGCCGCTCCGCTCCCTCCTGCTCCTTCTCGTCCCGGTCCGCCGGCGCGCGCTTCCCAGGCGTCGCAGGAGTCTCCGCGTCCGCCTCCCCGGTCCGCGGCGGCGGGGGAGAGGGCGGCTCCGCTGCTTCCGCGGCCATTTCCGAGCGCACCCGACCGGCTCTGGATCGTGGATTTCAGGGCGCCGGTGGGACGGCGTGCGTGACGAGCGAGAAGGAGCCGGGGACGAGGATTCCGATCTGCGCTCCTCGGCGTCGCTCGCTGCCTCGCTCGCTTGCGTGGGTGCCGAGTGGGTGGGGGCCGGTCAGATGGGCGACACACTCACATGGCCTCTCGATCGGGCCGAGGGCCGGCTGGCGTCATGCGCACAAGCGAGGACGCCCGCCCGCACGCCCGCCCTGACGCGCCGTGCGCTTGCCCACCGCAGCCAGCCAACGTGCGGGCGCGCGCCGTCCAAATCACACGGGCACGGGCTTGCCCAGAAGGACGCGCAGCGTAGCGACGGCGCGACGCGAGACGTGGAGAGGTGCTGCCTAGTGCCTACAGCTGCAAGTCTGCAGCGCAGTGACTGCTGGTGAAGTAACTGACGATTCGATTTGACACGTTTCAGATGTGGCTTCTCGACACCAGTTGTGTTGGCCTCTGTGCGAAGGACCCAAAAATCTGGTGGACATGGCTTCCACTACTTTTGCTAGCAGTGTTCCAGTTGACGATAGGATGCTGATGAACAGGGACGTGAGGGAGGTAGGCACAGGGTCGGCCGCCGAACATGTTTGATTTCCTATCTGAGGCGGCATAGTAGTTTTAGTGGCCGGTTACCAATTCAGGTGTTCAAAAGGCTGATGAAAGCGTGGAGAAGGACTTGGGCTGAATTTCACATGGGTCCAACAAAAACAAGGTTTCATTCTGTATTGGATACTGGGCGAGGCGGGCCAGTTATTGTTTCCTTTTCCTCAAGGCCAGGCTTGGTTTGGGCTACGTCAGTGTGTTCTTTTTCCTTGAATTGCCAGGCTTGATTTGGGCCGAACCGGTCATAGCATCGCATTGCCACATGTGCGTCTGCCCGGCAAGGTAACTGCAGATAGTTTTGCTGACCTTATCGGACTGACTTATCATGTTAGGATGTTTTTCTCTCGCAAAATCAGCGAACAGTATTTTTCGATCTGTCTTTTCAACGAAACGAACAGGGTCGGTACATCTTTATAGGGCATGTTCGTTTGAACTTATCAGTCAGCTTATCAGCTAAAATCTACAGTATTTTTCTCTCACAGTAAAAACAGCTTCAGCCGACTTTAATACCCGCCGAACATGCCCTCTGCAAACTGATCGTATGCACTCCGAACACCTGAATCCATCAATCCTTACCCAACTTTTAGCTAGCTCACTACTCATCAATTTGGCAACGCAAATGTTTTACGCGCGCGCCGGAAGCTCACTAGTGCGGGGACAAAACATTGCTGCTTGTATTTCACGTTTACTTTCTCGCAAGAATTCAGCTCCGCTGTCCGGAAGCAGCTGCTGATAGCAACGACGCATCGCCGGATGCATCCTGCCGGCTGTACCTTTGGCCTCCTTGGAATCCTCTGCATTTCACCTTTTACACGAGCACCGGACAAACTCCGATCCTAGTACCAACCTCGTAAGCTGTCGCGACACCAAGCATTTGCAATTGCAAAATTCTTGTTGCCAAGTCCAACACTACGATAAACCTCTGAAAAGTCTCAAAACACAAAAAGGTTGCCAAGTCCAACACTACGATAAACCTCTGAAAAGTCTCAAAACACAAAAAAAACTAATAAATCAATTAATACTGATTTATTGTGAAAAAAAAAACATTATTAACTCACTGGCTAAAACCAGCGAAAACGCCCACCTGGAATAGCGGAAAGCTGACAGTGCGCTAACCGTCTCTACGTTTGCGGCGGGGATCGCTTCACGTTTCGACTGCTCGGCCCATCGAGCCCCACAAAATCGAAGCCATCCCCGACCGGCGCGACACGTGTCCCTCGTCCAATCGCGGCGCGGCACGTACCCCAAAGATATTTTCGATCTCCGGGACCCACGCTCCCCGCAGCGGCACACGTGTCGAGCCACCGGCGCGCCCTGACGAGGCGGGCGTGTCCCAGTCCCGGCCACCCCGCCGGAAGCAGAAAGACCGAAACAACCCGAAGTCGATTCGAAAGGTGCCGCCGGTAATAATTGGGCGCCGGGTGCCCGGCGGCTCCCGCGGACCCGAACGTGTCCTCCACCGAGCGCCGCGACGGCACCTGGCAGGCGGGCAGCGCGGTTGGGCCGGTTGGGACGCGTGTCCCGTGCGCTCCGTCGCGTGCGACGGCACCTGCTGTTTGCCGTGGCGTGTCGGAGCGCTGAACTCGTCCGGCGAGCGCGTGAGGCTGGTGTGACGACGCGACAGTGAACGTGAACCATGGGTGGTGGATACGCACGGCCAGGGTGTTTTGCCATGTCATCCTGTGCCGTGCAGCGCTGCGTCAGTTCGCAAACGAAGGCACGGACGCACGGTTCGCGTTCACGTCCGCTATCGCTGCGCCGACCAGGGTAGGACGAGTAGGCCGGCTCAGGATCGCGACGTCGCGAACTGTACCAGAAGTTTGTTTTGCCGTTCCGTACTAACGTGCTGTTTGGTTGCGCACTGTAAAAGCAAACGCAAAGGGAATGGAAAACAGCGTTAATGGTAACAGATGGAGCATATTCCTGATTTTGTTTGGTTCTATCAGTGTAAACGCAAATGGCCAATGGCCGATGTTCGGTGGGGATCTCGACTCGCTGCCTGGATGGGATTACGGCCGAGGAGCACCGGTATCAATTTTCTATGGGCGGGTATTCGTTTACGGGGCAGCGGATTGCGGGCTAGCCAGAAACAAACAAATCTAACGCAATCGCATCCCCTCCCTTATCTATTTACGTTACAAAAAGAGCGGAGATATTTAGAGGGGGAAGTGCGGCTAGACTTGTCCACTTGTCGCGCGTCCCGAACGACACTGACCGCCGGCAACGGGACGGCCGTATATAACCGGCTCCGCCCTGTAAAAATTGCGGCACCCTATTATTGGCCACCGACGGACCGAGCGAACGCCAGTCAGGCAAGTGAGCGGCTCCTCATCGCGAGTCAGTCACGAGTCAGTAGTCGGTCGCGGGCTCGTGCGCTGCGCGCGCGCGGTGCGTGAGGTTGATGGGCGCGGAGGGATGAGGGAGAGCGCCCTGACCATGAGGCGGCTGAGCGGGACGTCGAACGGCGGCAGTGGCGGTGCCAGCGGCGGCAATGCGGGAGGGAGCTCTGGCGCCGCCGGCCACTGGGAAGGAGGCGGCGGCAATGCGGCGGCGCGGGTCCGGGGCGTCAACGCGGGGATCATGGACGAGAAGGTGCTGCAGCTGGTGTTCCGGGCGCTCAACTGGGACCCGCAGTCGCTGTGCGTGGTGGCGCGGGTGAGCCGGCGCCTGCGCGCCGTCGCGGAGCGGGTGCTGTGGCGGGAGCTCTGCGTCTCGCGGGCGCCGCGGATGGTGGCGGCGCTGACGGGCGGGGCCGCGGCCTCGGCGCCGGCGGCCGGGCGCATCGGCGGCGGGTGGCCGGCGCTGGCGAAGCTGCTCCTCTTCTGCTGCGGCGCGGCGGGCACGGGCGCGGGCGCGGGCGTGCCGGGCCACTTCGCCCCGGTGTCCCGCTTCTCCAAGACGTCCGGGCGGAGCTTCCTGTCGCGGCGGTGCGCGGGGGACCTGCTGTACGTGTCGGATCCCTGCGAGCACGCCGTGCCCGGCGCCGCCGACGACGTCGGCGCCTACCGCGGCGTGTTCCGCGGGTTCATGCGCTCCCGGACGCGGGCGTGGTTGGTGGGCCACCGCGACGCCGCGCTGGAGCCGCGCGTGCGCTGCCCCTACTGCGGCGCGCGCGTCTGGAGCATGACCGCCGCGGGGCTCGCCCCGCGCAGCGCGTCGCGAAGGCTCGGCGCCTACGAGGGCCGCGTCGAGTACTTCGTCTGCGTCAGCGGACACCTCCACGGCAGCTGCTGGCTCGCGCGCCTCTCCGACAGCGAGGGCGGCGCCGGACCCGACGGCTCCGACGCCGACGACGTGTCCGCCGGCGCCAGCGACGAGGACGACGCCGACCTGTGACGCCGATCGACGGGAGGGACGTGTACAGAGAGTTCTAGTTAGCGTCAGCTTAGCATTTTTCCACCTTGTTGTCTGTCTCTTTGATTCATCTTGTAAATGCAGAGTGGTTTTTTGAGTTCTCCTACCTTGGTGTGTACTAATTCCGATCAATTATGCTTGACTCTGCAAAAGCTGGGACAAACAACAACAACAAAAACATGACCAATTTTGCAAAAGCGACTGAATTCCAGACCTTTTAAGGGAAGCTCTCTCGGAGCACATCAGTGCCTGCTCGTGAAGCTCGGACTGATTTGTAAGTGGCTGGTAGTTTCGACCCAAATGCCCGCAGAAAGGAAGGCGCAATCTGTAATGTTTTTGAGTCCAGCAGACGCTGGAACGATCACATTTTACAGCAACTTGACGGAAACAACAAAATGGCACGGAAGGTATGAAAATTCAGAGCAAAGGAGTGCTGACTGCCACTCTACACCTTTGGGTGAATGTCCTGGACCAAGCATCGGCCAATAATTTAACTACTATAGCATACTGTAATGAAAGTCCACTGCCAGCAAATTGAATGCCTGAATGGACACTCAAGCTAGGTTCAGGCATGAAATGTGAAAGTCAACCGATAGAAAAGTGAAACCACACAGGTTTATCTGTCATAAGAAAGGTACAAATTCAACCATCAAACACGTAGGCCTGCCATGCATGAACATTTGCTCATTTAAGTAGAAATTTTATGCCTGAAATCAGAATACACTTTATAGTGTTATCTAGTGCATCAACAGATACTGAAACTGATTAAGGCACCAACACTAAAACTAAAGCATACATGTTCAGGTTTCAGGAGAAAAAGGATCACATAAAATCTGCCAAATCCAATTAGGATTGCCACAAAAAATGAGCATTTAAAGTATAAATTTGATTGGACTGACATAGATCTCGGTTGACAGTGACATGCTCTTTTCTTTACCAGTGCAGAACCGAAAACAAAAACACATAAAGCATGGTTAACCCCTTTTTATCTAAATAA